ACTTATTCCTGGCAAGCTATTACATGATGACATAAACCCAATCCTTCTCATTCCCTGTAAACTTTCCAAATTGCCACCATCTCATATTGCAAAAGGGGTATGTACACTTAAAACAATAAGTAGCACATAGGCAAGGATCCCCCTCCTTCCCTAACTCTACGCACATCACAGTTATGTAGAAGTGCTGCCAAGGTCTACTTACTGTCTATTCAGATATACAGAAGCACAGCTGAGTTTTGAATGCTCGCAAATATACAAAGCTACATATTACCAAGCAACTTGGGCAAAAGGAATGTTAAGTAATATAAGGCTCTTATTTTATATGCCAGTAAAATATGTTTTTAAAAATAAATAGAAAAAGATGGCAAGAAATCATTAAAAGCACAAGATTTCCCATTATTCAGTAGTGAGCTGATAATGAGTTAGGCATAAATTTTTCATATGTTTTCTGGTGTTTTGCTGGAATTTTGTGCTCAGTATTCTAAATTACAAAATGATTATAATATATGTACATATGTGACATCATGACCTTATTCTAGACCACAGATATCTGAAAAGTATTCATTTAAGATCCTTTTTGCATTCATCACTGTAACAGTTCAAAATGGGTTTTGTTTTGTTTTTGCATTACCTAATATTATGAGATCTAGACATACTCTTAGATACCTTAACATTGTTCATTTATTTCAAAGTGCTTAATTTACTGTGTACATGACCAAAAAACACCCATGGTTGCATTTTAAAGTTTTTACTCAATAGATTTAATTTACCAGATTTTCCACAAATGTATTGCTCTTAATCTCTCAGAAAACTGCTACAAAGTTGTCAAACATAAAAAGAGAAAGAAAAGCACATTTCTGACAAACAGTATCTATTTTGTTTGTCCAGTTTAGTAATGCCCAAAGATTACAAGTGAACTTGATTTGTATATTTTATTTAAAAAAATAATCACAAGTTGATGTTTTTGTTACTTTTTTAATTGCACAGACTTTAAACTACATTCATAAATTCTACTCTCTTCCAGGGTAAATGTCTTTTCTGGAAATAAACATATCACTTGATATTTGTATGACTTTTTGTTTCTGAATGCATGCTGAAATAGGTCCAATGAGCACAGTCCTTAAGATTACATTTACAGTGGACCAAATTAACACTCTAATAGTATTTATTTCCCTTTTATGTAACTTAAAACGTGTAAACTGGCACCGAACACAGAAGTGGAATACCTGACATTTAATTATTTGTCAGTTTTTTAGGTATAGGTGAATTACTGCACTGTTATTTGAATCGAAGCATCTCATAATATATATGTAACAGATTTTGTATGATACTAAAACTTACAGCAAGCTATTTGAATGTTTATTTAAAAAATTCTCAAATGACATGGAAACGTGTGTACTGTATAAATAAAAGCACTTAGAATTAAGAGTGTACATTATTCAATAATTTATATCATAAGAAAACTGGGCATGAATTAACCAGCACAATCTATTATATTAATATGACATATTAATATTCCAGTCACGTTTATCACAAAACTATTTATTACTTTAGTGATGGATGTTGGTTTACATCAATTATCTTAAAACATTGAATTGAGTGAATTGCATTCCAGTGTAAAAATCCCAGTAAAATATTCTCTATGCCTAATGTTTTTAAAAGATTATCTATTTAATTAAAATGCAAAGGAGTTGCCTCGCAATGAAGTTGGATTGGCTGGAAAGTTATTTTGCTAGGGAAAGAGGTTCTGTATCCAAAAGAGTTTGGAATAAACTAGGTCAAATAAAATTAACAGGCTTTTATGTACCTTGGAATTTCTCAAGTTCCCTGAGAAGGATGAGAGTTTCTAAACTATGTCTGCCCAGGAAACTCATTCTTATAGACCCAGGAATACCTATAGCAAAGGATGAGTTAGAGTAGCAATTTTCACTAAGTGTGCCACAAGAATTTTCAAAAACATGCCATCCTGACTGTCTAGTCAGGGCCACTGACCTCCTTCCCCTTAGAGCCAACGTGGGGAACCTTTTCTCGGCCAAGGGCCACTTGGATATTTATAACATCATCCTCAGACCTTAGAAAATTATCAACTTCAGAATTAGGCTGCTATATTTGGTCAAACATTTAATGAACTCACCCCTAATGCTTGGCAGAGCCAGGCCACATTTTTAATTTGAGGGTATTATACGGCTCACTGGCTGGCCTTTCCCCTGCCTAAGCGTGTCAAATAAAAAATAAAAAAATGACAACAGCCAATATCATCCAGTGTAAATGAATCAAAATTATGCCTATTTTTATTGTCATATAGGCAAAAAATATATATACTTTTTTTGGTGTGCCAAAGAATTTGAATAGTTTGTATGTGCTATGAGATGAAAAAAGTTAAAAATCAGATTTAGGGGACTTTGTAAAAACTATATATTAACTTGGTCACTTGCCGTATTAAAATTAAATGATTTCTAATACTAAATGTCATTTAGCAGAAATGTATACGAACATCACATGTCATTTTAAAAAGTTTTACCTCAGCTAGGAGATTCCAAGTAAGGAAAATTGTAATTGACCTCAGAAGAGCATTGTAGCTTGACCACCCGTAAGCGGGATATTAAGATTCTAGAATGCTGAGTCATATTATCATCTTTATTGTATGGGAATGATGTCCAGCGTGCTTACATTAGCTTTTACTACAATACTTCTATTTAAAATTCTGTGTTTTTTTCAATATTAACTTCAATTTATTTTATTAAAATTCTGTATTTTCTCTGGCTCAGATAATGCCCTCACATTATCAAATATATGCTCAAAAAAAATTAACAGCTAGAGGATAAATTATGGGTTATTTATACATTTATTTTTATAAAACTGACCAAATGAATTTGATAGCTAATTATGTAAAATTATCATTTAGATAATTAAATGACTATAATTATGTCCTTCCCAGGATTTTTTAAATGAAAATTGATTTAGAATTCTATATATTTATAAAATGTTGTGTATTTTTTTTTCACAATTCTACTTTTAATCCTCCATTTTTTAAGAAACATAGTTTTGGCCTGGCTGGTGTGGTTCAGTGGGTGCACATCGACCTATGAACCAGGAGGTCACTGTTTGATTTCCAGTCAGAGCACATGCCTGGGTGGTGGGCTTGATCCCCAGTAGGGGGCATGCAGAAGGCAGCCAATCGATGACTCTCTCATCATTGATGTTTCTATCTCTTCCTCTCTCTTCCTCTCTGAAATCACAAAGATATATTTAAAAAAAAAAAAGTTTTATAAAAATTATATATTAACTTGGTCACTTGCCATATTAAAATTAAGTCAATTTGTACAGTACTGCCCCCATATCCATGGTTTCAGTACCTGAAGTCAGCTATGGTCTGAAAATATAAAATAGAAAGTTCCAGAAATAAACAATTCATAAGTTTTAAATTGCATCTGTTCTTAGTGTGAAGAAATCTCGAGTCATCCCAGATTATCCCTCCTGGGACGTGCACTACAGTAAGATAGTTTAAGAGAGACAGAGACCACATTCACATAACTTTTAATATAGTATATTGCTATAATGTTCTATTTTATATTTACTCTGTTTAATCTTTTACTGTGCTAAATTTATAAATGAAATTTAACACAAGTATGTGTGTATAGAAAAAAATAGTATATTTAGATTTAGGTACTATCTGTGGTGTCAGGCTTCTCTGAGGATCTTGGGATGTATCACTCTGGATCAGGGGGGACTACTGTATTTACCTTTAAGCTAAGGAAGAGAATCAGTTAAAGTATGTTTATTAAATCTTCATTGAGAAAGACTTAATATGTTGCCAAAAAAGGGCTAGCTTCATTATAGCAGTTTTTACCAGGGACTTTAAATGCTAAAAACCTGGTGACCCAACTTTGCAATTCCCATAGTAATACCACACAGAAATATCACTGTGGTGTCTACCATGCTCTGTACCCACATTACACAGATGTACTTAAAAGACATATTGGTTTACTAACACAAAAACCAGCAGTTAAGGTTGTTAAGAAAGTCAAATTTATAATGTCTGAACATTTAAACAAAGTGAAAAGTTATCTAATTTTTTAACTTTATATACAATTGGCATTATGTATAAACAATAATTTAGTTTAACAGAATAATTTAAATGTTGATATTTCATTAAAAATGTCATTTCCAGAAAAATATAAATGTAGAAAAAGATGTCATTTGAGGTTATCTATGTCTTTAGTAACAAAATAAAGCTCAGAGAGAAAAATTGTTTATTAAGAACTTTTTTTTCATAGAAAACAATAAAACATGTTGAAGAAAAATATATAATATAAAGAATAAAAAAAGAAAAATGATGCCTCCTGTAGTCTTATTTCACTATAGGTTATTTTATGCTCCACCTAAGGTGATTTAAGATAAAATTTTAGGAACTACAATTTTATTATTCACAGATAAAGACCTTGGAGTTTGTTCTCTGATAATGTGAATAAGAACAAACCCTATAACAAATATGGCACAAAATCCAGGACTGCCCCTCTAGCTTACCTTCAAACACCAACAACTACAAACAAAACCTGAAAGCAAAATCTGTAACCTTCAGATAAGTTTAAATCAGTGTTATCTAGGCTTTCATCATTTGGCTCCTTATATAATCTAATAAGTACATTCCTCCAAGTTTATATTGTTCAAATTAAGGCAAAGAGATATACACATCAATTAATCATATACCAATATTTGATGACATTATAGATATCCATCAAGGGAAAACTTCTAAAAGCAAAAACATCCCAAATACAAAAACATCTCTTTTATTGCTTTGAATTGTTCATTAAAATAAAAACACATTTTACTAAATGTATAATATATACATATGTGTGTGTGTATATATATTATAAAGGGAATATATTTAATAGGTAGAAACATGAAAAGCCTCAAAAGCTTTAATTTAAAGTAGTCCAGTTCATTTCTTCCAAGCAGAAACATTCACAGTATTTCTTTAGTTTTCAAATTCTAGATATTCAAATTGTCATCGTGCCCTGCAAAAACTAATAAATAAACAAAATCACCAGCTGGTAACAACAAAATGGCATTTGTTTTTTATTAATTATATTCCATAGAAGTATTTTCACAAGATGAGAAACTTTGATTTTCCAAGATTTATAATTCAACCAGTATATGCTAGTAGGGTAATGTTGACCCTATAACTTCCACATAAAAACAAAACAAAAACACTAAAACATTGGAACACTTTTGAAATATAACTTTCTTATAGTATCAATTTTTTAAAAACCTGGATTCAGGTTAATAGTAATTATTTGAAATGAGAAATGAATAGCTTTATAATCATATATGAAAATTTCCTATCTTTATTAGAACTAAAAAAGATCACTGCAAGTAAACTACTCTTCATAAAAATAAAGGTAGTTTTACCCTTAAAAATTATTTGGAAGAAAAAATGCCAAAAACCCGTAATAAAATTTTAAAATATATCTTATGTTTACTATAAAATCAAGTTGGTATTTGTACCAATATTTAACCTTATAAAAAAGAACATGGCCTACAAAATATATTATCACAGTATTGGTACCAGTGATCACTTTACAGTTTATGATAACTATGAACACTTCTAGAATAGTGTAAATATCAAAAGTTTACACAAGATACTCACATCCTCATATATGAAATTCACAACCCCTTGTTGCAAATGGTCTCTTCTCCTAAAGAAATCTTTAAACAAACAAATTGTTTTTTTTATTACAATTGAAAAATCTATAGTTTCAAATACTCAAGTGTCCACAGGTATTAAAATATTAATAATTTCATATTCAATTAAATCTTGATTATGCATCTCAGACAAGAAAAAAAAAAACCTCTGAAACTGAGCTTTAACTATTTTTCACTAGGTATACTCCAAAAATTTTAAAGCCTTAACACTCTGATTAGATTTAATAGAGAATAAAGGGGAAAATATAATATAAACTTGCTATAGAAAGCAATAGACATTACTTAAGAAAAACAACTGTACCCACTTTTAAATGGTCTATACCTGTCAAAGCCCGAAGCTTCACACAGCAGGCAACATAATCATCAAAGAAGATCCTGCCATGCCTGCTATAACGTTTAACAATAGCACTTAAGGTTTGAGGACTCAACCTATAACCTAAAAAAAAGAGAGACATAAATTACACCTTCTAATACTAAACACATAAGACCACAACAAGCACTGCATTCTTGTTAATCGTCATAAATAAATTAACTTAAAAATGCATTCCATAAAAAACATGTTAAAAATAAAGCACAATGTTAGAAACAAAACACATTCATACCGAAATTGATCAAAGCAACTGTTAATTGTTAATAGTGGCACAGTCCTAGCTGGTTTGACTTAGTGGATAGAGCATCGGCCTGGAGACTGAAGGGTCCCGGGATCAATTCTGATCAAGGGCACATGCCTGGGTTGTGGCTCTATCCCCAGTAGAGGGCATGCAAGAAGCAGCCAATCAATGATTATCTCTCATCATTGACGTTTCTGTCTCTCTCCCTCTCCCTTCCTCTCTAAAATCAATAAAGACATTTTTTTAAAAAAAATAGTGATACATAAATATCACAAATCCAGCTTCCTAATAAAGTCAAAGCTAAAAAAATATTATTTGTCTTTTTAAAAATATATTTTGAACCCTTACCAGTTTTGTTCACTGGACAGAGCCTCGGCCTGTGGACAGAAGAGTCCAGAATTTGATTCCAGTCAAGGGCACATATCTTGGTTGCAGGCTTGATTCCTGGCCCCAGTTAAGGTGCGTGAAGGAGGCAACCAATCAATGTGTCTCTCTCAGATGGATGTTTCTCTTTGTCTTTCCCCCTCTCTTCCACTCTAAAAATTAATGGAAAAAATATCCTTGGGTAAAGAATTAAAATATATATATATGTGTGTGTATATATATATATATATATATATATATATATATATGGCTAATATGCTAAGTGTCTGACAGTCTGACTAGTCGCTATGATGCTCACTGACCACCAAGGGCCAGACGCTCAATGCAGGAGCTGTGGTGACACGTACTGGCCATTTACAGAGAAATGGCACCATAGACCTGGCATCCACAAAGCAACACTCGGCTTCCCCCAGGTGAGACACAGGCCCCACCACCACCCCAGAGCGATAGCCCACCAAATAGCAGCTGATGTTGCCGAGACGCTATAGCGCAAAATGTGGCCCACATCCCTGCCCGGAAACGGTGGCTGTGGGTGCCAGGTGATGATGTCACATAGCAATGCCCAGCTTTCTCTTCCTAGCAACTAGCCTCCTTGCCGTTTCTTCAGCCAGGAACACGACTTGCTTTGCAGCCAGGTGGATTAACATTTTAACCAAACATCTGTGAAGCATTTTCCCATGCTTCACCTCATTTGATCCTCACAGAAGTCCTGGAGTAGGTAGATAGGAGACTTGGTGGAATCCTATTTTCTTTTCATTAACCGGAAAACAGAGATTTAGAAAGCTTAGAAATTTGACCTGACTGAAAAGAAGTAAGAAATGGTGGACCTTGAAAATGACTTCAGGGTTTCTCACTGCACAGAATATAGTCAGACACTGCTGCAGTGAAATATTTTACCCTTTGTTCTCCCTGAGGGATCTACAATAATAATCTGCTTCATGTTGATATTTACTGCAGGTTTCTGACAATTACCTGAAAGAGAAGTTGAGGTGCTAAACTTTGGGGCTGAAAAAGCTAAATCAGAAAGCAGATCTAATTAAGCAAGTTTATCTATATACTAGAGGCCCAATGCATGAATTCATGTACCAGTGGGATCCCTTAGCCTGACCTGCAAGATTGGGCAGAAACTGGCTCTCCAACTTCCCCTGAGGGGTCCTGGATTATGAGAGGGTGCAGGCGAGGCTGAGGGACCCCACTGGAACACAATCAGGCCAGGGAGAGTCATGGGAGGTTGGCCGGCTGGGGAGGGACCATAGGAGAGCCCCAGAGAGTGTCCAGCCCATCTTGTTCAGTCTCAATTGGCCAGACCCCAGAAACAAGCTAACCTACTGATCAGAGGGTCTGCCCTCTGGTGGTCAGTGCATGTCAGAGCAACTGCTCAACCAGTAAACTGTCTGTCCTCTGGTGGTCAGTGCACGTCATAGTGAGTAGTTGAGTGGCCTTAGCATATCATTAGCATATTACACTTTGATTGGTTGAATGGACAACTGGAGTATATTATATATACTATATAATAAAAGCATATTAGGCTTTTATTATATAGGATATATATATTAGGCTTTTATTATAATGCCAATCACACATATGTGTTTCAATCTGTCATTGTCAATCATGAATTTAGTTGACACTTCCATTATAGAGAAAGGGTGAATAGTGATATTAAAATATTCTAATTAATTTCCTTTCAATGTGCATGAATCTGTGCACCGGCCTCTAGTGTATATATATTTGATTTTGAAATAATGTCTAGGGTATTTTATAGATTTTATTGCTTCAATATTTCAAGTCTTTAATTTTATTTTATCTTTTTATCCTTCAGGTATCTTTCTATTTTTCATTTTATTTTTTATTAGGTATAACTGACAACATTATACTTCAGGACTACAATATAATGCTTTGATATTTGTATATATTGCAAAATGATCACCGTAATAAGTCTAGTTAACATCTGTCACAACACATAATAAAAATTAATTTTTTTATAAGAACTTTTAAGATCTACTTTTTAATAACTTTCAAAAATGCAGCTACAGTATTATTAACTAGAGTCACCATGCTGCATATTACAATGGCATGAGTTACTTTATAATTGGAAATGTGTACTTTTGACCACCTTCACCTATCAATTCTGTGAATTATGGATCTTTAAAGAACATCAGAGCAAAATTTACACAGTGATCTTTGCTAGCATTCAAATCCTATAGTTTTCATTGAATGTTTTACTTACAAGTATCTTTTAAAGCCAGAGAAAATTTGAAGACACATGATTATTCAGAGGGAAAAAATAGAAAATGTTACTCCTTTATGTTCCATAACTCTTAATCTATTTCTTCAGACTTTTATCACTACTTCCTTGGGGGTTTTTTTTATATAGGTTTTTTTTTATTGCATATTCCTATCAGTAAAAAGTTTGGGATCATTACTGTGTATTTAGTTGTAAATTCTATATATGTATTACTATTTGATTATTCACATTTTAAAATATATCTAAAACTAAAATTTAAAAATAATTAGAAATATAAATCAATATATTATACTTTATGCATCTGTAGAGATGGTCTTAATGTATTTAATGAGATATGTGCACTTTATTGGGAAGAATGATAGCCTAGAAGTATTGTCTTTATTATTACTTGGGTGTAGTAGATTTCAACAAACTATTATATACTAATTCATTCAAAGGGGAAAACAAAAATATATGTGCAATTGGAGAAAATTCTATGTGTAGCTATAATAAAATGCAGGAAACTTGCTTAAATAAAAGGTATAAATTAATAGAAGCAAATAAAACATGCAAACTAATTTAATTATATATAAATCCATTTTGAGCTTTCAATTGGAAAGTTATGATCTGAATGTGGTATTGATAAAATTCTTAAGATTTCCCATAACATTCTTTTTTTTAATATATAACATACTTTATTGATATTTTACAGAGAGGAAGAGAGAGGAATGAGAGTTAGAAGCATGGATGAGAGAGAATCATCCAACAGCTGCCTCTTGCACGCCCCCTACTGGGGATGTGCCCACAACCAAGGTAACATGCCCTTGACCAGAATCAAACCTGGGACCTTTCAGTCCACAGGCCAACGCTCTATCCACTAAGCCAAACCGGTTTCAGCTCCCATAACATTCTTGGCAAAATAAATTTAATATTTTAAATATATTTGAAGATCTTAAATTTGAATAATCCAGAATACCTCTTTGTTATATTCAAATGCATATTAAATTGTTTGGCTATTTTCTTTTTTTTGCAAAAGATTATATTAATGTTCCAACATTATGCTAATTAAGGAACAAGTTTAATCCACTAATTATTAAGGTTCTATAGCACATGTTTGTATAGCCAGGATTGTCCCTAAAATCGCCATTTATTAAATTAAAATGTCCATTTATAAAACAAAGAAAATCACCAGTTCTTACTTATTTAAATTAGAATTTGAAATAATGTATATCAGGTTCAGATTTTAACTTTCAAGAAGTTAATTTTCTTACAAATGTATTTTGTTCAGAAATGAGTATAAATAAAATCATAAAGAGAAAAACACTTAAATCTACTGAAAACTGTCATTAGCTATAAGCAAGTTACACATCATTGTATATAATCACTTTTTGAAAGAAAGTAGACTTAGAACCTTAGCTTATCAAAGATTGATAAAAATAAAGTTAAATTATTTAAAAATATTCTAAAATACATACTTCTAATTTGGAGGTATTTGGGGATCTACTGTGTATTTTCTACTACTTAAGAAAAAAAAACAAAAACCATGGTGTTTACTGCTGAAAAACTAGATTATCAAACTGGAAGTCTTACCATGATACCAAATATTATGTGAGAATAATTAGAGGAATAAATTTAAATATACTCAACAGAGAAAATTCAGAAGTTATTTTATCATCCAGAATGTATAAAAGTTCATCTTTTGAAAAAAATAATGAATAAAATTGTTTTTATTGTTGTTAAAGATCCTTAGTCAGAATTTACCTATAACTTTAAAATCAATCTAGGTGAAATAATATATCCCTTTATCACTTAAAAAAAAATTAAGACAATTAAGATCCATCTGATCAAAGAACAAAGATGACCAGGATGGATGCTAAAGAATTTTAATATTCTTACCCATAGCAGCAATGGCTTGATTCAACTCATAATGCTCCACTGTGCCACTTCGGTCTTGATCAATAGCTATGAAATTTTGTTTCCAGGCAGTAAGAGCTGTCCAAAGTTCTTTGAATTCGTTAAATCCCATTTTTCCTGTGTAATCTCTCTGACAGTTTTATTAACAAAAATAAACTTGATACCAAAGAGAATTTACTTAACCCAAAACTCCAAAGCATTCACACACACACACACACACACACACACACACACACACACACACAAATGTTAGGATGTTACTGCAAGAGTTAGCTAAATTTGGCATATGAAAAGATTTCTTTGTAAAACTGAGAAAGTATGGAATTTAAACAGAATCTTACAAAGCATTTTTAAACTCTGGCTTACTGTGGTGATTTATAATCAACAATTGCCTTAATATGAAAAAGCAACTATTCAATAGTATTTTCTATTTTTATTCAAGGATACATCCAACATGGCAATCATAATTCGGCAGGTTTCCAAACTGAAGGCTATAAAACATATTTATTATTTGAATTAGAGTCTGCCCAATTTAATCTATGCAAGATTATGACAATTTCTATTGTCAACTTAAAACATTCAAAATTGCCTAAAATATGCAATCATCCCAATCAGCAAACTTAGGATGTTAGCCATCCATAAAAATAATAATAATAAATTGCTACCCTCAAACTAGTCATATCTAATAAGGGGATTTAGGTAATTAAGAAAGTAATCATAAAGTAACTGAAAATTGCTATCACAGGAGAGGAGGGCTTTAGACTTCCTAATACAATGACAAGTGGAGTTTAAGTAGGCATTTGACATATACTAAAATCACAACACTTAAAGGAGTTGGCAATTTGGTTAAAGCTTGGGGTATATGTGAGGGAGTTGCATATGATGACCTCCGAAAGACAGGTGAGGGCTCGATCATGAAAGTCTTAAATGCCAACCTAAAGATTTAAACCAATATAAGTCACTGAAGCATTTTAAGAAGCAGAGGGATAATTCTAAAATCTTCATTTCAGAAACATTAGTTTACCATGAACAGACTGTAAAGTGAGATGAAAATGGATGTAGGTAAATCATTGATAGTTTTATTGCAATTTAACTATGTAAGAAAGGAGAAGTTTCTAAACTAAAGCAAATGTCCCCCCGCCCCTTGGGGAGATGGAAGGGGGCAAAAAAAGAAAGAAGGGATATATAAAACTATCTTAAAATTATGGTTTATTAGAAATATTAACACTTTTGTAATTACAGAACCATAACTGAGGACTCACTAAGTAGAATTTAATTTCTCAAATCCTTACTGTCATTGCATTCAAATAGTATATGATTTATCTCAAACTATATCATAGCCCTGAAAAAGAAAACATATCAGCACAGTTAAGCTTACAAAGTTCTCATAGCTAATAGCTCATTAAAATAAAAATAAATAAATAAAAATACTTAAAATTAAGTTGGCTTATTTTATACTATTTGATATTTTTGAAATTCTATAAAGAAACAAGTGATTTCAGCTAAGTTTTAGATCCTTTAAGAAAAAATTTAAAACATCCCACAAACTTTAATAGCTGATTTTCTTTAAATGTTTAATCAACGTTAGAATAGATGGTTAAAGTATTTCAGGCTGACAATTTCAACAGATAATCAATGAGCATTTACTGTGAGCTAAATAGTCTGTGTTTTGTGATTTCACATACACAGAAATATTTAATTAAATTAAATATTTTGACAAAAAAAAATGAAGAGAGAATTTTCAGGAAAACTGAAAAGAGTTCCTCTCTCTCACACCACATTCCATTAGGACAGAGACTAAATTGATTTTTTTAAAGTCATAAACCTTTAGAGAAAGAGAGAATGATAGAAGAACCAAATTTTGCAAGTTGGATGGGAGTTAACTAACCTAGTTCTGAGAAAGTGTTTTTCCTGAATTTGCAATAAGAACAGCTGAGAAGCAGCCTATTTATCCAGGAAAAGGCCCCAAAAGTTTAAGAATTGGCAATACTTCTTTAAATGGGAGAAGATAAAATAAAAACAGGAGTGATTGAATGTCTACTTAAGGAGCATTTAGAGTTCTAAATCGCCTCCTGGCCTCAGTTCAGAGGAAGGCTTTGTCTGCTCCTACCTCAGCATCAGTCTGGGGTCTTATTCCCTGGAGAAATCTCTAGACTGCAAGATTCCAGAACAGGGCTACCTCGCTGGCAATTAAATGACAATTTACAAAAGACTGAGAGCCCTGCTGATTCTTTCCCCCTCCTTTCCACACAGATCAGCTGGACAACCAGCCCAAAATAAAACCCTAAAGATATTAACACCCAGTGTTGTACAACAAACTGCCCAGTCTAACCATCAGACACAGAACTCTAACCATGATCTCACAGCCTCTAACCAGCCTTTTAGTTAAATATGAGCATCCCAGGATCACCAGACACCTGAAAAAGCACCTAATATAAAAGACAAATGTGGGAGGGGCGGGGGGGGGCAAAAGAAGGGACGGGCAGCAATCTGTTAGAAACAAAGGTTATGTAGAAAGAAAGGAACTTTAAGTCTCAGAGAGATCATGGAAGATAATACTTCATGAAGAAAAAAAACACACAGATGCTCTTGGATTTTAAGAAGATGGCAGTAAACAAGACTCAATAGAAAGTTTAGAAAATAAAGATATGGAAATGTCCTCTCAAAATAGAGGAAAAGAAGAAGTAGGAGAAAATAGTGATCCATTCCAAATGTCAGGCATTCTATAAAGAGAAAATAGAGAAAACATAACTGAAGAAAATGTCCCAGAACTACAGCAAATGAGTCCCAGACTGGGGGTACTTACTGAGTTCCCTACACAACTAACTAGGCACATCATGGTGAACCACCAGACTTCAAACAAACATTTCACAGGCCTCAAGAGAGGAAAAACAAATGACATATAGGCCGGAAACATAAAGACAGAGCAACAATGGAAGCTAGAAACAACAGTACCTTTAAGATTCTAAGTGAAAGTTATTTGTAATAGCATTCTACACCTGGCCGTTCATTTAATTCTGAGGACAGAATGAAAGCATTTTCAGATGAAGCCTCAAAAAATGTACCTCCGATGTACTTTTTTAATAGGAAGCTAATGTTTACTTAATAGAATTAAAAAAGTTGATGAGTTAAGATAAAGGGGAGATCCAGCTCCAGAGAGAGAAGGACAGCTCCCGAGAACGATGGTGATGGGATGCCAGTGTGACAGCTCTGCAGAGTAGAGCACAACAGAAAGCTCCAAGATGATGATTAATTTCAGGAAATGAAAGTTACATAAAATGGAAAATTAATTGTACCTATCACAAAAAGAAGAGCATTTAGATGGTAACAAAAAGGCAAGTGCTGATCATGGACCTAATGTAAATTATTATATAGCTGTGCTGAATGGATGGGAGGATGAGTAGGACTCCTGTGTGGAGGGCAGGTCCAAGGGTGAGTTAAAGGTGGAGAGTTAAATTCTCATGCTCCATAGTAGACCTCTACTGACAATCATTAAAACTGAAAAGCAACAGTGATTTAAAAAGCATGCTATTTTGAGATCCGGAGGCAAATTTCAAAACCATCAGCTGAGAAAGTTGAAAGATATTTCCTCTGTGAGTGGTTAACACTGGGGAGATAGCAATGAACAATGAACAGGTATTTTCATAACAAGCTTTGAAGAATTATTTGATTCTTTAAACTAAACACTGTAAAGTACTGTAAGTATGGGTGCAAAATGTTAGGATATGAATTTCCTATTCCAATTTCAATGGGGGGAGGGTGGGAGATCTCACGAGAATAAGTTCCACTAATTCCAGACTGTGTCAAACATCTCTGAAGTTCTTCTGCATCCACTTCACCATCCTGTTAAAATAAGTATGACTTGATTTAATGTACAATTGTATAAATGCATAGTAAAATGCTGTCAATCTAGACTAACCGATAAATATGCATTCTTCAAAATATTACTCTATTACCAACTACAAAAATAACAGATGACTTTTATAGCAAAGGCATATGACAGAACATCATGAACTATAAGTAATTTTTCACAATTGAATTATAATCTATTAACTTTTCAAGCATCTCAAATATAATTTTTTTCTACTATTGGAAAATGGCATAATCATCCTATACAATAATAGCTCAAAGTAATACTTGGGAGAAACACTGGACTTCTACTTAAATTAGTTGGGGGTAAAAACCTACAATAGGATTTTTAAGGAAAGTCTCAAAACTTGCCTTTCATGCCTATTTTGGGGGGGAGATTATTTCTAATGAATATCGAAGGAGAAAATATATTTTCCCTCCAACACCATTACCCCAGCAAAATTTTAGAGTTCCCTACATTTTGTTAGTAATCTTCTGATTATGGCCCAAACATTCTTGGTTTGAACTTATGGAAAATATGGGGTTTTTTTATTTTGAAAGTGAAACAGGTTGAGGATTCTCAGGTTTCAGTACCTCATCCTATTTTCTGTATTTCTAACAACACAGAGGAGAAAAATTTATTTGGAGGCATCAAATACATTGTCCAAATGCAAAACAATAGCTCTGCGAAAGGATCAAGGAGACAAATTTAAAACGTACTTTGTAAGAGACCAAAGAAACAACAACAACAAAAAAAACTTTGAAAGGAAAACTATGACTAAGAATTATTACAAACACTCATATTCTGATCTTTAGATTAGATTTCCTTATAAGGAAACTTCTTCTCAATGAACCAACCATGTAATACTGTTTAGTACTACACAGCATCTAAGTGGATGTCTGTCTGTCATGCATGTTTTTATAATTTTGTTTACATAATTTTAAATGTATTGTAGAACTGTATACCTGAAATCTATATAATTGTATTAACCAATGTAACCCAAAAAGTTCAATTAAAATACATTTTTAAAAATTTAAATTCTGTAGTTAGAAAATAGTTCTTATGCCGAAACCAGTTTGGCTCAGTGATAGAGCGTCGGTCTGCGGACTGAAAGGTCCCAGGTTCGATTCCGGTCAAGGGCATGTACATTGGTTGCAGGCACATCCCCGGTAGGGGGTGTGCAAGAGGCAGCTGGTCAATGTTTTTCTCTCTCATCAACATTTCTAGCTCTCTATCCCTCTCTCCTCCTCTCTGAAAAAGTCAATAAAATATATTTTTTTAAAAAAAGAAAAAAGAAAATAGTTCTTGTAAAAAATCAGCCATATTTTAAATTGTGAACACAACTGAGGTGGGGACAATCACAAAACCACTACACAAAGAAGGATGACAAGGGGAAGCAAAGTAAGTACATAGAAGGGGGACCAAAAGAAGAAGGGAGGAAATACACAAGAACTTCAAGCAAAATAAGTTTATAAACCAAAAGTCGAAAATATATGGAAAAATCTAATGGTCAAAAAGACAATCAACAAAAATGAACAATTTTAGAACAAATCCATACAAGATGAAATTAATTTTATAGAGCAATCATGAAATCAAGTATGTAAAGAAAATGAAGAAAAAAAATAACTAAACAAGTATCTTCCATTTAGAAAGAATAAGAAATTCATTTAACAAATACTTATTAAGCAACCTACTATGTACAAACACCATTAATAGGACTAGTTATGTAACATTGTTCAAAATAAATTCCTCGCCGTCAGACAGTTTACATGTTAGTGGTGGGAGAGAGACAATAAAGAAGAAATTAATTTGATGATATTAAGTGATAAGGGGGAAATACAGCAGAATAAAGGTAATGAGGAATGTGTGCATGGGCCCTGGGGAATACAAAAGATCTCATGAGAATAAGTTCCACTAATTCCAGGCTGTGCCAAACATTTCTGAAGTTCTTTTGCATCCACTTCAGAAGTGGAAGCAGTGTGTGCACTAAAGATACAGATGTTTCTATTATTGAAAAGCATGATTTGTGTGTGTGTGTGTGTGTGTGTGTGTGTGTGTGTGTGTGTATGCTGTGTATTTATAAAGGTACAAACCAGAATTTCCTCAAATCAACTGATGAATGAATTAACACTGTTCAGAAAGCATCATCCTATAAAAAGGAACACTGCAGAAAACTTTAACTGGGCATTTCTTGTAGTAGAGCATCATAAATTATATGGCCTATTAAAAAAAGAATACAGCTATAGAGGTGAGTTCAGCAACTGGGTTGTAGAACCATAATATGTATGTCTGATATTATATCTGATCCTAAAGCTAGGCAAAATTCAACATATAAAAGAATTGTCTAAATATTTGAACTAAAAAATTAAAAATGAAATAGTTTACATACCCATTCAACACATGTATTTAATGACTAATATATTCCTAGTGTCGACTTGGTAAGGGATAATATTGCAAGAGCATGTCTTCATGGAGTTTAACTACACAAAAGCACAAGACTATGGAAAAATTGAGGCAATTATCAAACAGTACAAACATAGAAAATCATTGTTGAAAACTGTTACACTGTAATAGTTCAGAAGTCAAATAAAAGTCTCTAAATATATGTATGCCCAGTTCCTGTCTTAAGTAGTAATTTTATAAAATGAATTTATTATATAGTCAGTTATAGATAACATGTTTATTCTCAGTAATACCACTCAAAACTTCCTTGCAAATAAGAATGGTATAATGTAACAGGATTGCATTTAGCTGCAAACAATAAAAAATGCTATTAAAGGGTTTATTGTTTTATACAAGAAGTCTGGAACAAGATAGAACTTGACGGTATGTCAACTTAGTGATGTCACCAGTCTGTACTTGTAGATATCTTTTTTCCAAATCCTCTCTGGCTCCCTGGTTCCACTTTTAGTTAAAAGAACTATGTGTTAGGGATCATACTAGAAGACTTTTTAAAATAAAATGACTACCCTTGTCTCTGATCTCAGGAAGAAAATTAGTCTAGAAAAGTTTAAAATACAAATTTGATATGCATTTCAAATGATACACTAAATAAATAAAAAAGTGGGCGTGTCTTTTAAACAGCAATCATTTTTAACTGACATTTGTGCAGTGTATTTAGCATCTCACCGGTCCAGCAACAGCGGTAAAGTATGTCCACATGGGGCCTTCGGCTGAGGAGTAATTGTTCAAATAAGCTGGGTGTCCGGGGTAGCCCCCAGGGAGCACTGGCACTGGCTGTCCCATTCCTGGCATCTGACCAATAAAATTTCCAAACTAGAAGAGTAAAAAATGAGAAAGGTATTATCACAAAATGCTACCTACTATCTATTAACATTGTTTTAAAAGGAAATATTTATGAGCAGTTCATTGCAGTACAGGAATAGAATTACTGCAAGCTTCCAAATTCACTATCACAAAAAGTGTTGGCTCCAAAATGCTAGATGTTCCATAATTAGGCCTAATTCCATGCATTATCATGTTATCCAGAATTAAAAGAACCCTGAAAGAAAAAAAAAAATCTCTAGCCACTAAGAACTTAATCTAATAGTTGGACATGACGCACAATTTGGAAAAAGTGTTTATCATAACCAACACTAAAATAAACAAAAATAAAAACTGTAAGCAAATTCACCTACAGAAAAACTAACAAATAGTATAACTCAAGACATCTACTTAAAAGAATACATGGTAAATTACAATGAAATTGTGAATAAATCAAGGAAAACAGCTTAGGAGTAAAAGACCCACTCCATCAAAAAAAAATTAAAGGAAGAAATCAATGAACAGATCAATAAATTGATAATTCTAACCATGATCCTTTTTAAAACTAAGAATAACAACAAGAATATAATAATAATATACAGCAAATATTTTTGAGAGCTTTTTATATCCCAGGTACTACTGTTCTAAGTATTTTCCATCTATTATGTGATTTGATTTTCCAACAACACTATGAGGAATAAAAGTACTATATCCTTTTTGCAGTTGAGGACCTGAAACTTCAGGAGGATTCCTGAATTGGTTAAGGTCAAATACTAGTAAGAAGTAGATCATGATTCAAAAATAGACAGTATGACCCCAGAGGTACCTACTGTTTGTTTCCTGCTATATCTGGGTTCCTCTTTTCTTTTCAATTGGACTTTGGTACACATTATTAATAACTTTTAAAAGATAACTTTACTCAGTTTTTTTTTTTTTTAGTGTGAAGGAGAAAGAAATATAAAGATTGTCCATTATTCCATTTTGAGTGTGTTTTTTTCCTTTTTATTGAACTTAGTGGGGTGACACTGGTTAACAAAATTATACAGGTTTCAGGTGCACAATTCTACAAAACATCATCTGTACACTGTATTTTGTATTTACCATCCCAAGAAAAGTTTCTGTCCTTTACAGCACACCCCCCCTCATACCCTCCTCTACCTTCCTCCATCCCCCGCTTCCCTAACCCCGGGGAATTACCACATTGTAGTCTGCTTCCAAGAGTTTTTTTTTCCACTTTCTTTTATGCTCAATCCCTCCACCCTCCTCTACACCTAGCTCCCCCCACCACAGCCCATCAGCCTGGTGTCTGTCTGTGAGTCTGTCTCTATTTTGCTTGTTAGTTCATTTTGTTCATTAGATTCCAGAAACATGTGTTACTTGAACAAAAATATTTTTCACTTATATTCTTTTTTTTTTCATATGGTGTTGCTTTGACATTTTTTTTAATTGCAGTTGACATTTAACATTATATTAGTTTCAGGTGTAAAGCATATTGCTTAGGTATTTATATAACTTACGAAGTGATCTCTCAGATAAGTCTACTATCCCACAGATACCATATAATTATTACAATATTAGTGATAATATACCCTATGCTGAGCTTCCCATTCCCATGACTATTTTTCAACTGCTAGTTTGTAACTTCACTTGCATTCTTTAAGGGTCAGTAGAGATTGCCAGAGGCAAAAAAAAAATAATAAAAAAAGTAAAATAAAGGGCAAAGAAGATAAAGGATAGAGACTATTTGCAGTGCTCTGAAAAGACCTGGGTAGGGATGTGGTGAGAGCAAAAATATGGAGGAAGTACTGGAGTTCCAAGAAATGTCCTCAGGAGGTGGTGAAAACATACAGAGGTTCTGAAGCAATGAAGTACGAGAAAGGAAACAGTAAAAAAAAAAAAATAATAATAATAATAATAATAATAATAAAAGGGCCCTAATAGGGCTAGCTCAGTGGATAGAGCATTGGCCTTTGCCCAGGTTGTGTAAGAAGCAGCCAATCAATGAGTCTCTCAACATTGATGTTTCTATCTCTCCCTCTCCCTTCCTCTCTGAAATCAATAAAAAATATATTTAAAATACAGGAGAGTATTTAACCACAAATATAATTTAAATTAAATATATATATATATTAGCAATGCTATGAATGCGTTTTTTTGAAAATGTAGATGAAATGGCTCTTCTAAAATTATATGTTATAAATGTTGACTAAAGGGAGAAAAAAAATCTTCCTATTTCTAATAATGCAGGCTAGGATAATTTAATCAACCTTAATAATGAAAATAATCAAAATGTTGCAAAAATATTTTTAAGGAAATTTCCAGGCCAATATTTGAGGACAAGTGAACAGCTTAGCAAAATTCCTAAGGCTTTTACTCTTCGGACATGTAGAAATAACCAACACCTAGGCATCGGCCAAGGCCTCCAAGGACAAGAACTGAAAACAAGTCTGAAGGCCTAGCCAAGAATGTAAGGCTTACTGGAGACCCTTACCACTGTAAGATTCACATAAGGAAGAAAACTAAAAATATGTTATAAGAAATGAGGTCAAACTAAATTACCGGTAAGCATATTAGTGAAAAGCTAATATTGAGGTGATGCCTAAAGATGACTATGAACACTTCACTATAGCATCTCCATCTGTTCCTTGAGAGGTGAACACATTTTTTTATTTTATTATTTTTTAAATATATTTTATTGATTTTTTACAGAGAGGAAGGGAGAGAGATACAGAGTAGAGAGTTAGAAACATAGATGAGAGTCATCGATCAGCTGCCTCCTGCACACCCCCCATGGGGATGTGCCCGCAACCAAGGTACATGCCCCCGTCCGGAATCGAATCCGGGACCCTTCAGTCCGCAGGCTGACACACTATCCACTGAGCCAAACCGGTTTCGGCTGAACAAATTTTTTTTAACTAAAGTCAGGCAAGCTATATTGCATGAAGAACCAGACCTTATGAATAACCTTCCACCTCTCTTTCCTTCCTGACATGCAGCATTCACTCCCCCAAATCCAAAAACATGAGAGCTGGTAGTGGTCAGAGTAAAGATGATTGAAAAGTATTTGCTTCTTGATTCCCAAGGGTACAAGGGACTATTATAGGTAATGGGAGTAACACAGATCTGGGGGAAATTATAATGACATTGTACAATATCACGTAAGGATATTCTTTGCTCTAGTCTATGGCAATTGCATTTCAAACTGGCTGTCAATTTCTTTTTGTACAGACAAGTAGGGGAGGTGGGTAAAAGGGGGAGAGATCAACCAAAGGACTTGTGTGCATGCATATAAGCTTTACCAATGGTCACTGACAACAGAGGGGTGGAGCCATATGTGGGGAGGGGTGTGGGATGGGAATGGGGGAATGAGGACAATTACGTGATACCATAATCAATCAATAAATTTTAAAAATTAAATTAAATTAAATTTGCCATCTTCCCTAGGCCAGGCAGACTTTCTCCATCCCCTTGAATCCAAACTGGGCCTGTGTCAGCTGTAACTGACAGAAAACAGCAGAAATTGCACCAAGGTCCTTTCTAGGCTAACGACTTCAAGAGGCAGTCTCTGTTTCTCTCTCAGAGTGAAGCCAGCATAAGCAAGCCCAAGACTCACATAGAAGGATCCACAGGGAGAACTAGAGCTCCTAGTCATTAAGGACAATCCATAAAAACAGTTTAAAAATTCGTATTTCAAGTTGTCTTCTTGGTAGTGTCAAATGAGCCAACGCTGACTATTACATGGTCAGAGTTATTATCTGGTAACATGACTGAAAAACAGCTTGGACTTAAACATGGTGGCAATGTCATTTTCACGTTGTTTTGCACTTTTTTGAATCCTTAATATTATCTTGGATTCCTAGTTTCTTCCCAGAAATTTTCAAACTACGGGTCCAGTTTGGGTCATTTTAATTCAACTCAATTATATAATCTGCAATGTCAGAGAACTCTGTACGGACAAACTGTAATATATCACAATAAGCTGAAAGGAACACACAAGTTGAGAAGACAATGTCTCTGCTTCATCCCTCAGTTTATTCCCCATATTTTATATCAATGCGAACACTGTCAAAGCCCCACGGGTTTGTGTTCCCTTGAATAACTGTTGACTAAGGCCTTGCCTTCCTTAGGCATTTAAAGTAGAAGGGGCCAAAACCTATTATAATATCAGTAAAGCTCAATTTCTCTTTCTGGGTAAAATAAAAATAAAAATAAAAAAAACAAGTACCATTAAAGTTGGAATTATATTATTTCAACACTGCCAAAACCTATTATAATATCAGTAAAGCTCAATTTCTCTTTCTGGGTAAAATAAAAATAAAAATAAAAAAAACAAGTACCATTAAAGTTGGAATTATATTATTTTCTACTCACAGCCCAATGGATTGTCCCTCATGCAGGTGTTCATACAAAGCGTGCTCCCCCACTTTGGAGATCCCTGACATAAATACGGAAGGTTGCGCTACTTTCTGAAAAGAAAAAGGCTGGCCAGCTAGCCACCAGGATATTGCGATTATAATTTCCCACTCTCAAAGGTGATGCAAAATAAAGAGTTATGTAAGAAAAGAGTCACCCAATTCCCTCCCCCACCCCCCCCCCAAAAAAAAAAGTCTAGAGGAACGGATTGCCCTTAGCAGAATAGTAAAGATTAGGAGACATGTAGCATATCTTAATTTATTCATAAGGACGGAAAATAAGTGGTCCAAAAAATTCAGAAAGAGGATGTCTAGCAAAACTGAGCGACACATTGGGGGCGGGGCACAAAGGATGACTGGAACAAGAAAAGAGTGCTTTCCCCGCCGCCGTTCCCGGAAAGGTATTTCTGAAAACACATCACACTCTTGGCTCCACGAGAACATGCCTCCGGGACCGGACCGGCCGGCTCCCAGCACCTCGGACCGCGGATCCAAGAGGCAAAATAAGAGGTGGAACATTCAGGCGCCGGAGGTGGACCGGGTCCCCCGGCGCCGCCAGCAGGGGCGCCACGCCCGGGAGGAGCGAGAAGAGGACTGCACTCACCCCTCCTCCGTATCCCGGATAGGCCATGACAAGCGATCAAGTGTCACCCGTCACCCGTCACCCTTCGAGTCTGCGTCCGCCCGCCCTGCCGGCGACTAGCGCAGGTGCAGGTGCAGGTGCAGGTGCAGGTGAGCCTGACCGAGTACCCGGGGCGCCCTTGCTTCCCGGAGACCGCCCACTGCCGGAACCCAGCCCCGCCCCACTCGGCGCCGATTGGATGAGGCCCGCCCTTAGGGGCAAGCCCCTTTCCGGGTTCTTAGTCCCACCCATCTTGTCTCTGATTGGCTTCACGCGCCCAGCTCTCTCCTGCTCGGCTCCTATTGGCTCGCTCAGATGTCACGCTCTCCTCGCTGACCCAAGTAGGAAACTGCCGCGGTGCATCTACCCTCTTTGGGAAAAGCTCTCCGGACCTAAGTGCTTCTTTCACCACCGTTTTAAGCCGGACTTCAGATGCATCGATGAATCTAAAAACCTTGTAAAGTTACTCCCATTTATTTCTGCTTAGCGTGGATGTCACAATCAGAATGTTGAAACCTTTATCTCTGCGCCCAAAGGGGAGGAGTGCTTCGAGCTAATAGCCACTTGATGTCAGATTTTACCAGAATGGTATTGGTAGTTTATGAACAGTAACTAGAGTTGCCAGAGTTAGGAAATAAAAACATAGGAAATCCAGTTAAACGTCCTTTTCCTTGTGGACAAGGAATTGTTATAAATGCCTCAAATGTTACATGAGAGGTATTCACTCCGGCAAAAATTAAATGCTCAATTACTTTATTAAGTAATAGTAGTTGACAGTTCTGCTTTTCTCTGGAATTCAAATTTATTTTGTAGCCCCAACTTTAAAAGGACAAGACACACACAGTACAAGGACAGCTGTAGCTTTTGCTAAAAAAAAAAAAAAAAAAAAAAAAAAAAAAAAAAAAAAAAAAAAAAAAAAAAATCAGGATAACGTTATTTTGAGTTATTTCTGAATAAAACAACCACACATAAAAAAGGATTTTAAAAATACTTTTTTGGGGGGAAGTGTTAATTATTAACAGAGGAAATAAACCTTGCAAAGCTGAGTAACTATTGCTAAGCTAACACTACAGAGAAGGAACTCGTTGAACCTTGTGAAATCTAATTTTATCAGAGGAAGAGAGAAAGGAAGATTGTCACTCTTAAGAAAGTGTGTATTACTTCTTCTAACACACACACACACACACAAAAAAAAATACCTTAGCCGATAAGATTAAATTATTGGCACAAATAAGTATAGAGGGGTGTGGTAAAACTTACATGATAAGAGGAAAGAACACATGATTTATAAAAGTATTAAGTGATAAAGCAGTACTAAGCAAAACAAATTGTTGTAACATTTTATTCTAATTGATTAATTGTATATTCAAAGACAGAAAGCACCAAGGGTTTTATATTTACTATGTTAGTCTAAATCTCTGGTCAGAATTTTTGTGCATCTTCTCTTCAGTACAATAGCCTTATGGATGTGTTATATTTGTGTTATGATGGGAGTCAAATCCCGATGGTCCTCTTGCATTTTTACAAGTTCTAGTTTCCAGCATAGGGATAGTATTTCCTTCAAGGGCAGAGAGATTGTTGGAAGATAGCAGATCATCTCTCCCTCCATGTTAATGTTTGGGTAAGTTTGCTAGCAGGACTTTCCTAAGCATGAAATTCCTCCCTTCCAATATACACCCAATGTTTGTGCAGCACCTGCCTAGCAGCTCCATTTTGCCTCCTAGAATTTGGGAGCTAGAGGAATCTAAGAGAGTCTGAAGTTCACACTCCCTATTGTGCTGTGAGCAATCAAGTCCTTTGTCTCCTACAGAGGAATCTCATGCTTTCTGTCAACTTCTAGGAAACTGTAGCAGGCTACTTAGTAGCTTGAAAGTAGGATAAAATATCAGATCCTTAGTAGTTCTTAGCAATTTATCTCTTAGACAAAGAGCTACCCAGAGTTTCTATTAAAGGATCACAGAATATGCCACTCCCCAATATGCCACTTTCACATAACTTTTTTTTTAATTGAAGACAATTGAAAAGAAATAATAAAAACTCTCTACTCTCCCGCTTATTTGCCTAAAAGCAGGACCTAAATTTCTAAGTGTCCCTCATATTGTAAGACACCATTAGAAATGGAGAAAGTAGAGACTTAAATCAACATAACAAATCTTGCACTTATTTATTCTGCTTTTTCTATAGTCTTTCCCACACTTTTTCTTTTCTCTTTAGCTGAAGATGGTATTTAAGATGAAGTTCTAATTCACTTCTGAGAGTTACTCATTTTTCCCTGAGTATCTCCAATGCATGCATGAGGATACATGTCAATAAACTTCTGAGCTTTTTCTCTTGTTTATCTATTTTTTTTATTACAGAGATTGATCTCAACCCATAACTTAAAAGAGTAAAGGGAAAATTACTTTACCTCCAGTACACTACTATATGAGATACAGACAGGCTTTTTAAAATGCCAGTCTGCAGTATCTCTCTCTCTCTAAACCTAGGCACCCTACCTGTGCATGAATTTTGTGCACCAGGCCTCTAGTTTACATTATAACAGGAAAGGGTTTAAAGAGTAGAAAATGGCACGTCAATAAGTAGAGAAATAGAGAGGAAAATGCATGTTTTGTATTAATATTTGCCATATTTTGTGTAATTATTTCTCTTACACAGGATCCATGCTTTCTGATAACTACAAAGTTTTCGTGATTATATCTACTTGTGGTATTTTTTCCAATTCTTGGTGGTCTTTGGTCTTATTATAAGTTTAGATATTTGCTTATCCATTACATTTATCAGTACAATGTAATCACTGATGTAACTATGGTCTCCTTTTCTATTTGTTGCCACCTCATTATCTTTTTCCCTTTATGTGAATATTTTATCTTTGTTTTAATATATTTTATTGATCTTTTACAGAGGAAGTGAGAGGGATAGAGAGCTAGAAACATCAATGAGAGAGAAACATTGATCAGCTGCCTCCTGCACATCCCCCTACTGGGGATGTACCCACAACCTGGGACTCTTCAGTTCGCAGGCTGACATGCTATACATGGAGCCAAACCTCTCTTTTAAGGCAATGTGGATATTTTCTTTCTCCCTCTCTTTACAGGTGGGGAAACAGGGCCATGAGAGACAAGAATAAAATGTACTGCTCCTTAGTAAACTTCAGCATCAGAGCCAGAGCCTACTAATGTCATAGAAATAACTTCTATGTTCTATGCCAAATACTGTAACAAGACATATAACCATACCCAGCTAATGCAAAACAACATTCATGGAGCTTATTTTATATCACTAAGAAAGTTTCCTTGGTCAAGTAATTTATTTATTCAACAAATATCTATTGAGCATCCACAATGTAAAACTACTAGTTTAGTGAAGAAAAAATCCATCAGTGGGGTTGGGGAAATTTTATTTTACCTATAACATTTGACAGGAAGATGCTCATGCGCTGGTGGAGCTCATAGTCTAACAGGAAGAACAGACAATAGTATGTAAAGATAATAAGTACATTATATATTATGTTAGAAGATGATAAATACTATGGGACAAAAGGAAAATAAAAACAGGGGTAGGGTTAGAGAGGTGACAGAGTAAGTTGCAGTTCTAAACAGGATGCCGAAAGTAACCTCTTTAGGAAGGTATGGTTTGAGCAAAGACTTAAAGGACACAAATGAGTTACACATGTAGTTATTGGACCTACAGGAAGAATATTCCAGCCAGAACTAGAGTTATGGTCCTAAGGCAGAAGGCTGTTAAGAATCAGGAATGAGGTCGGTGCATTTGGTGAGGATTGAGGTAGAGTGGAAGTCATAAGAATGGTTACAGTGCAGGAATATTGTGGCAGATCAGTAGAGCCTTTAAGGGTTATTGTAAGGACTTTATTTTATACTCTGGTGAGATAAGAAGACACTTAAAGGTCGGGGCCTTAGTGAGATATGGTATAACTTAGTTTTAAAGGATCACTCAATTCTGTTGCCAGTAGACTGACAGGGTTAGTGTAGAGGCAAGGGGATCTCTTAGCCATCTGTTGGTAATTCAGAAATGTTGGTAGTCACCAGGGTACTGCAGTTAACATAGTAAAAAGTGGTGAGATTATTTTCTATTTTTAAGATAGACCCTCATGGATTACTGTTTGTTTTGGATTTGCCCTTTACATGGTGACATGTTGACAAAGATTCCCTCCTTGACCAAACTTTAATCAGGTTTTTCTGAGTTCTCTTCTTGATTAGGCCTTAATCCTTGCCTATTAAGGCTTCGACGAACACTGGCATGGTTTCTGACAGCTCAAAGGTGCATTCCCAGGACGACCCTCACTTCCTTAAAATGCCTACTCGACAAAACTCAAGGCTTCTGAAAGACTTTACTGTTCGGTCCAGCCAATACCTGAAGACAGGGTCCTGACTCCAGGTTTTTGTGAGAGGGTAGAAGCCTCACTGCAATGAGCACCACTTAGGAAATCCAGATGGGTTTCACAGGACTAAGCCCCTCTTCCTGCTTTTTTGTGGTTTTTCACTTCCCTCACTCTACAGAGCCCCAACTTGCCTTTCTCTATTCCAGTTTCTCCCTTTAAAATACCTCATTTCCTCTATACAAATCGAAATCCAGTTCCGTTCACACGGAACTCTTTTTATTGGTATTATTAATTTCCTATTACTTATAGTACATTACTGATTAAACTCATCCTTATCACTTTAACTAAGGTCTTTGTTTATCTTTGTCAAGGCTGAAGAATGGAGTTTGGGATGGCCAAATAAAAAATCAATATGGGACATGTTAGATTTAAGACATCTGTGATACTTGGTGACAATGTCAGGTAGATTGTTGATCTAAGAGGCTAGCTAGAGTAAATAGTTTAGCTAGTAAGCGTGCCTACCATCCACCCGGCATCTACATTTTGATGAACCTTGTTATTCTCCACTTGATACATATGCAGCACCTGTAGAGAAGCAGTGGAGAACTTAGTGGAAGGTATTGCTCCAAAGTGGACCTAAAATGAAAATTAATAACAAATGCTGGTGATG